TTGGGTTTGTGCGCCGCCCTGAGTCCCGCTGGGAATAGGGCGGCATATAAATAAAATGTACCTTGAACCTTGATCCCAGCCTGATAAGAGAGATGAAGCTAATAACGAAAGAATATTTATAGCTCAGGGTTGAACTGTGGAGTCCTTGGTGCTCTCTGAGATTGGTTGTTTCCTTGTAGATGTTTCGTCACCCAGCTACGTAACAACATCAGGGTTACTAGGAGAGTTGAGGTTTGTGGAATGGAGGACTGTGGGGTCCTTGGTGCTTGTTTTCTTGCAGACGTTTTGTCATCCAGCTACGTAACATCATCAGGACAAGTAGGAGAGTGGGGTTGGCGGAATGGAGAACTGTGGGGCCCTTGGTGCTCTCTGAGCTAGGTTGTTTCCTTGCAGACATTTTGTCACCCAGCTACGTAACACCATCAGGGCTTGTAGGAGAGTGAGGTTGGCGCAATGGAGCAGGACTCTGGGGTCCTTAGTGCTTGTTTCCTTGCAGTCATTTTGTCACCCAGCTATGTAACATCATCAGGGCTACTAGGAGAGTGAGGTTTGTGGAATGGAGGATGTCTGTGGGGCCCTTGGTGCTTGTTTCCTTGCAGACATTTCATCACCCAGCTACGAAACACCATCAGGGTCAGTAGGAGAGTGAGGTTGGCGGAATGGAGGAGGACTGTGGGGCCATTGGTGCTCTCTGAGCTCGCTGGCTTCCTTGCAGACGTTTAACCACCCAGCTAGGTAACATCATCAGCGCTAAGGGACGTGCCGAGGCCTTCCTCGCAGGGTTGTCGTGCCGCTAGGGAGGCGAACTCCCCTCCTCCCCGCCTCCTCCCACCAAGGCTGGAGAGAAACGAGCCGACGTGGCCTGGCCTTGCTGAGCGAGGCCTAGCGGAGACACCCAACCCCCTCCCTCGAGTGACAGCCTCCGACCTAAGCGGCCCCACCCTCCGGACCACAACTCCCGACGTCCTCCGCGCCGTCGTCGACGTCGTCGTCAGCCTCGGCCCGTCTTCCCGGCGTGCTCCGCGGCAGCCCGTCCCCCGCGGGCCCTCAGTTTCCTTCCCGGCATGCCCCGCGCGCTGCCTCAGCCTGACTAGAATCGGAGACGCTGCCGCCGCCGCCGCCGCTGCGAGGAGGAGGAGAAGAAGGAGGAGCAGCAGCCGCCGCCGCAGGAGCAGCAGCAGGCGGGGCCGTGGGCGCCGCCGCCGCCGTCGTCTTCCGCCGCGCCTGAGGGAGAATCCCGCCCTCTCCTCTTCCGCCCTCCGGGGGTCCCCTCCGTGTGTGCGTGTGTGTGTGCTCGGCCGCCCCGCCCTCTCCCCGCGCCGCTTCCCCCCCGGCCGGCCATGCCGTCTCGGGCAAGGTAATGAGCCGCAGAGCCCCGGGGTCTCGGCTGAGCGGCGCTTCGTCCTCCGGAGGCGGCGGCACCAGCGGCACCAGGCAACACTATCACCCGCGGAGCTGGAATGACTGGCAACCCAGGTGGGCCCAAGACGCCCCCGTCGCCCACAGGCGCGGCCTAGCCCGGCGGAGGGGCCAGTGTGTCTGTGTGTGTGTGTGTGAGAGAGACAGAGGGACTTGAGTGTGTGTGTGCGCGCGTGCGAGAGAGAGGTGTGTGAGAGTGAGGTGTGTGTATTTGTGAGTGAGTGTGAGAGGTGTGTGTGAGTGAGAGAGTGAGGTGTGTTTGAGAATGTAAGGTGTGTAAGGTGTGTGAGTGAGGTGTGAGTGTGAGTGAGAATGAGGTGTGAATGAGGGAGAGGTGTGTGAAGGTGTGAGAGTGAGATGTGTGTGAGTGTGAGACGGATGTGAGAGTGAGGTGTGCGTGTGTCAGTGAGGTGTGAGAGGTATGTGAGTGAGTGAGGTGTGAGTGAGGGATGCGAGAGAGGTGAGTGAGAGAGGAATGTATGAGTGTGAGAGAATGAAGTGTGTGTGTTAGGTGTGAGTGTGAGAGAGGGATGTGAGAGAGTGTGAGAGTGATGTGTGTGAGTGAGGCAGGGAGGGAGGGGGAGGGAAATAAGGAGGCCTCACCACCCCCCCTCTACCTAGCTAGGCCTGGGGTCCCTCTTTGGCCCCCTCTTTGGCTTCAGGTGGGGTGGGGGGATTGGCCTCCAAGACCCTGGCCAGGCAGGGTATAAAATCCTGCCTCTTTTAATGGGGTCTCCATGAGGGGGTGGATTGAGGGCTTTTCGTCCCTCCCCCCATTTTTATTTTCTGGGTGGGTTTCCCCTTGTTTGTGGAAAGGGGGGGGTCTTGTGGAAAGGGGGGGGTCATTGCTGAGCTTCGTTTGCCCAGGATGTGGTGTGGGGCTAAGCCAGGGCTAGGTTTAAACCTGGTTGCTGGGGTGCAAGTTTTGGGGGTGGGGCATGTACAGAAAATGGGGTGGGGAAAAAGGTTGGTTACAAGCAGAAGGTTTTTAGGACTGGGTTTTAAAGTTTGGTGTCTTTATTGGCTTTATTTTTAGGGTGTGTGTGGGGGTAAGTTTGGTTGTGAAGTGTCCCTTGAAGCTCATTGCAGGTTTAATTCTTCCTCTTTTTTTGGAAAAACGTTTACTGTCCCAAAAGTGCTTTCTTCTTCTTCTTCTTCTTCTTCTTCTTCTTCTTCTTCTTCTTCTTCTTCTTCTTCTTCTTCTTCTTCTTCTTCTTCTTCTTCTTCTTCTTCT